GGTATGAACAAGCCCTAAACTGCCCTTCTCCTCCAGAGCCGCTCTCACATTTAAAAGTGGCTGTGTTGAAGGGGATCTGTGAATGAATTAAGTACAAGTCTTATCTGCCACAGACAAACTTGTAGTTTTCAGTAGACTGAGTGTGGTAATCGGAGCACTCATGACCCGAGAATCTTCCTCCAGCTCTACAACTGACAGCCTGTACAGAGGTATGGGCAGAGAGCAGGATGAAGTTGCAGGAGCCTACCATTGCACCCCCAATCCACTGATTGTGGGTGCAAAGCTTTGCAGGCTCCTGAAAAAATAAAAATTGATACACATTTTCTTCCTGCAAAAACCTTCATATACTATTTTTTTTTTCAAAGGTGAAACCTAGCCTTTATCGTGTTACTAAACCCACAACAGTAAAATCCGTCTGTATATGCAATAAAGCATGCTTGTTATCCTCCCTGTGGAATCTAAGGGGTTAATCCTCTGGATTGTGTAAAAAGGCTGTTTGATCTTGTTTTCTCTGATCCTCCCCTTCTACTGTCCCCAATCCATTTGCTGATAGAACAGAGCCTATCAGCAAATGCTCAGCTTTGCTTTCACTTCCCCAGGCTGGCTGTGCCGCTACAAGGCCTGGCGGAGGATTCCTGAGTGGGACCTGCACTCCTTCCCACACTGACCTGCTCACCTGTAGGGCCGGTGCCAGCATACAGGCAGCTGCTTGAGGACCCCCAGCCATGCAGGGCTTGCCCGATCTATCAGCACTGTCAGCATGAAAGCAGATGGCCATGGATGAGTGCTCCAAGGGAAGCCAGGGTCATCAAGTCCTGCCGCCTTTGACAGTGGACAGCCCCATGAGTATAGCTCTGACTTCCTCACTGACAGCCAGGTGCTCAGGACGAGGTGGCACAGCCAAACCATGCTTGCCGGGAACCAGCACCTGCACCCCATCAATCTCACTCTACACCTCCGGTGAGTGAAAAACTGCCCCACCTCTTCCATACACCACCCCATCTCCCCTAGGGACAGGGACCTTATCTCCGGACTATGCTGGCTGGCACTTGCCCTGTGGTGCCAGGATAGGGGTGGGGGCTGTAAAATCCAAATGCCCAGCAGTACAAGCGTGTGGGGTAGCTGGAGCGTGGGGGGGGGGGGGAATTAAGTACCAGTTTGGGTTGCCCTTGACTGGGGGGGAGGGGTAGAGGGTGGTTTAGTAGTGTGGGGTGGCTGGGAAAGAGGGTGAGCTAGCAGTACCAGTGCAGGGTGGCTGGAAGATGAGGGGGGGGGGGTATAGCAATAAAAGAGTGGAGTAGCTGGAGGATGAGGGGGGGTACAGCAATACAAGGGTGGAGTAGCTGGAGGATGAGGGGGGTACAGCAATACAAGGGTGGAGTAGCTGGAGGATGGGGGAGGTACAGCAGTACAAGGTGGTGGAGTAGCTGGAGGATGAGGGGAGGTACAGCAGTACCAGGGTGGGGTAGCTGGAGGAAGAGGGGGGGGGGGGGTGCCAAAATGCATCTTTGCCTCCGTAGATAAAAATCCCAGAACCTGTCCTAGGAGCACAGGTGCCATGAAACTAACTTTTGTAGCTGGCTCCTAGATTCAAAGCAAATTTTGTCAAGCCCTGATTTATCAGTTTATACTTACTAAAATAATTGCAATTCCATGTTCTGTGTACTGCGGGAGATCAGATATACAGTAGTGAATGCAGGGTCCGGGGTTTAGTAACACTTTAAGTTAAAAAAAATAAAAGTTTAGATTCTTTTTAGGTAGGCAAATTTAATTTTTTTTTTCTTTTTTTCTTTGTTAAAGGACATTTACTGCTAATGACATTTGCATGTAATTTGGTAAATTATTGTAATAAATACCCTGCTCAGATTTTTTGTAAATATATTTTTTTTTTAGCAATCTTCCTTTACTTTAGAAACAATAACCAGCCAAAAGTTTCTGTTCAACCGCCTCTTTCTGCGAGAGGCACAGTAACAGTTTAGCCAGCCAGTGCCACTTGTTTGAAGGGTGCCTGCTCCACTAGGGGAACTAAACAGGCAATTTTTTAAGGTTCTCCTCCATCTTGCAGATAGAATTTACTTCTCTGATCCAGTTTCCATCTGAATTGACTGACGCGTTTCCAGAATTCCGTTTTTCTGGTGGCATTGACCGGATGAATCAACATTATTTATGCCATGCTGTTCTCTTTTGATTTAGATAAAGGAAGGATTTTTTTTTTTTTTTGTACACTGTTGCTGCAAACTGCCTGGAGTAATTCTTTAGGTTTTTACGTCCGTACAGAAATAGCCTAACTCCGGGTACTTTCGCTGTGCTATTTTTGCATGTATAGCTTCTGTAGCTGCTGAGTAACTGTAATGTGCAGTAAGCGTGCTGATCTGACTGGCGCATATTCCCAGAGAAATCCCTTTGCTGGCTGCACTACTGAAAGACATCAAATGATTGCAAAGTTCTTGCTGGGTAAAAAGGAGTCTCTGTGATCATTAGGTTTTATATCTCGCTAGATCTATGGCATTCCAGGGCTTGTCACTCTCCGGGAGAGTTATTAAATACAGGACAATTTACTACAAAAATAAAAACATGCTAAGCCCTATTTGCATCTAACCAGGCCGAATAACAGAACCTCAATTTCATTTTTTGGAAAAAAAAAAAACAAAGTTGAGTAAAATAAGATTTATGATAACCAGATCAATGGCAAACATAAGAACTGTAGACCTTTTTTATGTTCACATGACTTTTCCCCTTACCTAAAGATGAAAAGATCTGATCCTATGATGCAATAGAAGCTTCTCCAGCACATCCCTATATAAGGTTTACTGTAAATTACAATGAATTTGGTGGAGGAGACCGGCGCAATTTTTCAGGTGCATCTCAAAGCTCCTCCCATACTTCTTATCCGTGCCCTCTTTTATTCTTGCAAAAACTCTCCTTCCATAACACTTACATAATTACAGCCCATGTAGTGAACTGGGTGCAATGAGTTATTCTCTTTAAGGTCATTACAAAGGACAAGGGGCACTCTAGGTCTGGACGAAAAGAGATTTCACCTCCACATACTGAAAGGCTTCTTCATATCTTCACAGTAAGAGTGAGTGGAATAGACTCCCATCTAAAACTGGTTCTGATCAGCTCAGTAGATTGTTTTAAAAAAGAGCTGGATGCATTCCAAAATGCACAAAATATAACTGGATACTAACATTTATAGGTCATAAGGAACGTTGATCCACGGAATATTCTCTTCTCTTCTGGTGGATCACAAAAGAGTTTTGGTTTTGGTTTTTTTTTTTTTTTCCCCGGCACTGGAGCAAATTGAGCCATGGCTCCATGCACAAGAGCATTTTTTTTTTTTAGGCATAAAAAATGCTGGCAATAGCGTTTTTTGGTAGCGTATATTATTATTATTGTTATACAGTATTTATAAAGCGCCAATAGTTCGCTCAGCGCTGTACATTACAAAGGGGGACAGAACATGCGACAGAACAATACCAATACAATGCAAAACATGAGGGGATTGAGGGCCCTGCTCCTTGGAGCTTACAATCTAGGAGGGAGGGGATGGTGGCACAGGAGGAGATAGCTGTGGGGGATGGAGTGGTAGGAAGAGTGGAGGAGGTCGGTCAAGTTAGCAGGGGGTGGGGTAGGCTTCTCTGAAGAGATGGGTTTTCAGGGTGCGCCTAAAGGAGAGGAGAGTAGGTGATAATCTGATGGGTTGGGGCAGGGAGTTCCAGAGGATGGGTGACACCCTGGAGAAGTCCTGAGGCGGGCATGGAAGGAGGAGACCAGGGAACTAGAGAGAAGGAGGTCTTGTGAGGAGCGGAGTGTGCGTGCTGGGCGGTACTTGGATATTAGGTCAGTGATGTAGTTCGGGGGCAGTATGGTGGATGGCTTTGTACGTCAGTGTTAGGATTTTGAATTTGATCCGTTGCGCAATCGGAAGCCAGTGGAGGGATTGGCACAGGGGGGTGGCGGAGATGGAGCAGTTGGAAAGGTGAATGAGCGTTCGCGTTTTATTAGCGTTTTAACAGTACACGTAGAAAAAAAGAAAAAGCAAGAAAAAAGCTGTTAGCATTTTAGTAGCGTTTTAGGAGGAGAAAAAATTCTCCAAAAACTCAAACTTCTACTAGAAGCGGAAGCTCACAAAACGCTAATAGCCTCAGATAGGGTGCATGGACACATAGAACAACACTATTTAGCTTCTAGGAACAGAAACAAAATGCTATTAAAGTGGAGTTCCACTCACTCTGTAAAAAAATAAGCCAGCAGCTACAAAAACTGTAGATGCTGACTTTTAAAAAAAACATCCACTCACCTGTCCCATAATCCAGTGTTGCCCCTGCTGCAGCCCGTTTCACCGGCCGTCCTGTATTCCAGGCGCCGGCATCTTCAGTGTGGGCACCCGGCTGTGACAGCTTGCGGCTTCACAGCCAGGTGCCCACTGCACATGCGCGAGTAGTGCTGCACTTCCTGAATGGTCCCGTCGTCTTCTGGGACCTGTCACGTGTCTCCCACAAGACTTCAGGGTGGGGAGGACAACTTCCACTCGCTATCGCCTAGGCCAGTGATGGCGAACCCGTGGCACGCGTGCCACAGCCGGCACGCCGAGCCTTATCTGTGGGCACGCCAGGAGAATCCAGCGGCGCGCTGTCTTCCCGGCTGTAGTGTGCGTGACAGCCGGGTCCCAAGTGCGCATGCACAAGAAGCAGTGCTCTTTGTGAATGGTAAGGCGGTACCTGGGACACATGACAGATCCCAGAAGCCGCCGGACCAATCACAAAGCGCAGCGCTGCTCGCGCATGCGCACTGGGCATCCGGCTGTCCGACGAGCGCCCACACTACAGAAGCCGGGAAGACAGCGAGCGGCTGGATAAAGGAACAGGTAAGATAAAAAAAAAAAACTCTGCGGAAGTAAGAGCGGGTACCTGTCAAATTCAGGTACCCGCTCCCCCTCCCTCCCCAAAGGTCAGCAGTCATCTCTGTAGTGTCCGCAGTCTCTGGTCATCCCTGTGCTGTCCGCAGTCTCTGGTCATCCCCTGTACTGTCCGCAGTCTCTGGTCATCTCCTGTACTGTCCGCAGTCTCTGGTCATCTCCTGTACTGTCTGCAGTCTCTGGTCATCCCTGTGCTGTCCGCAGTCTCTGGTCATCCCTGTACTGTGTCCGCAGTCTCTGGTCATCCCTGTGCTGTCCGCAGTCTCTGGTCATCTCTGTACTGTGTCCGCAGTCTCTGGTCATCCCTGTACTGTGTCCGCAGTCTCTGGTCATCTGTACCTGTACTCTGTCCGCAGTCTCTGGTCATCTCCTGTACTGTGTCCGCAGTCTCTGGTCATCCCTGTACTGTCCGCAGTCACTGGTCATCCCTGTACTGTCCGCAGTCTCTGGTCATCTCCTGTACTGTGTCCGCAGTCTCTGGTCATCCCTGTACTGTCCGCAGTCTCTGGTCATCCCTGTACTGTCCGCAGTCTCTGGTCATCCCTGTACTGTGTCCGCAGTCTCTGGTCATCCCTGTACTGTCCGCAGTCTCTGGTCATCCCTGTACTGTGTCCGCAGTCTCTGGTCATCCCTGTACTGTCCGCAGTCTCTGGTCATCCCTGTACTGTTAATTAGTTTGCACTACTGTACGAGTTGTTTTTTCTAAACCAAAAGCTCGATATTCAGGTTTCATTGCAGTGTTGGCACTTTGAAAGAAATAAGTTGGTTTTGGGTTGCAGTTTGGGCACTCGGGCTCAAAAAGGTTCGCCATCACTGGCCTAGGCGATCGCAACGGAAGTGGGAGCGGGTACCTGTCAAATTCGGATATCCATTCCCCCCCGCTCCCCAAAGGTGCCAATCCTTAATGGGGAGCGGGGACCAACCTTTCAAGTGGAACGTCCCCTTTTGGGTGGAACTCCGCTTAAACAGTTTCTAGGAGCTTAAAAAAATGCTAGTGTGCATGGAGCTTTATAGGGATGTTCTTTTTTGCCTTCATTGATCTCCAAATTTTTAAGTTTTATAAATGAACTTACTCAATTTTAAATGAGTGAAAAAAGTTTTATTTGTAATTGGCATGATATGATTTAGAGCAGAAATAAACTTCAGTAAAATAAAACAAATTCCAAATAAACTTAAACCCATCAGCCCCCCTCCCCCTTTACATTGGAATTCCCCTTAACATTGGAGCCCCCATCAGAGTCCCCCTGTATATGTAAGTCCCCATCAGGATCCTCCCTTACATCCATCAGTGTCCCCATCAGAGTTTCTCCTTGCATTGGAATCCCCATAAGAGTTTTCTATCGGAGAGCCCAGGAGAATCCAGGTTTGGAGACCGCTGCTCTGGATCAAGTACAGGTATGTATATGGAGGTATTTGGTTTGGTTATTATTTTTTATTGGTTGAACTGGATGGACCTCTGTCTTTTTTTTTTTTTTTTTTTTTTTTTTTTTTTTTTTTTTTTTTTTTACCCTTAGTAACTACAGTATGTAACACTGATCTTTGGACAGTATATAAGCTGGTCATTCGCAGGGATAGAAGTGGTAATGGCATGCGGTTTATTTACTGTAATAAGGTGGTTAAAGCTGAACAGCAGGCAAAAAGCTAAGTATACAGATGGATTGCCCATGTGGAAGCCGTTTTTTATCTTCCAAAAGCTTTTTTTCTGTTTATGCAGTCCTGAAATTTACACAGCTCTGCCATAGCACAGCAAGGTAAAAGACATTATTTTTTTTCTGATGCAATTCAGTAACACTGATAATCTAATACCTCCCATCCCCACCCTGTGACTGGACTATGAAAGAAGCAGCACACTGATAAGCTCATCTCTCACTCTGCTGTATCCTCCTGTCAGCATCCTTTTCTCACTGCTGAACAATTGATTGGTCATTGTGCTGCTTTTTCCTCTGAGACATACACTGTCTGCATTCAGGTACTACACTGTCTGCATTTTAAAAAACACATTTAATAATATATGCAGTTCCTGGGTATTAACTGTGGAATGAAGCCCCATTGAAAGCAATGGGAGGCTGACAGCTCCCACAGCTAATCGTGGCCACTCACATGTTATCGCTCATGGAGTGATTACCTGCAAATGACTGGTACTGGACACAGACAGATCATTTGCAGGTAATCACTGCTTGAATGATTACATGCGAACAGCCACAATTAGCTGCGGGAGCTGTCAGCCTCCCATTGCTTTCAGTGGGGCTTCGTCCTGTAGCTAATTGCTGGGAACCCTTGCTGGGGTTCCCGCATGTAAATGCACACAGCACTATTTCCAAGTGTGTATGGAACCTTCTATTTGTAAAAACTCAGCTTTTATACTCAATTCTTGGAAATAACCTTCACTGTAGCTGTTCTGGAAGCTCTCTATAAACATTTCATTGCAGACACACGTGAAATAATATAAAACACGTTTGTCTATCTTTCAAAATAAAAAAAAAAAAATCTGACACATATATATATAAAAGGCTTAAAATGAGAACTAGCAAGAAGGCTATATAAAAAAGAGCCTGGCTGTAAATCCACAAGAGTGCAAACATTTTGTATATTTTCAGCATTCCTTAACTAATCCAACAGCCAGGTCCTTGATGCATCTGGTGATGGATGATTCTGAATAGGTATGGAGAAGGCAAAAAGCTTTATCGCCACAGACATTTTCATCTGCAGCAAGCCCGCCTGAAGACCGACTACATCAGACAACTTCATCTCTCACAGATACTATATAGCTGTTGCCGTACCCCAGAATCTCTATATCTCCAGAGAAAGGACAGCAGGCAAACTGGGAAATCAATGGTGGATATAGAATGAACCGCTCAGGCTATCTTCAGGCTCTCAACATTGTTTCTTCACATACATGTGTGTGTCCTCTAACCATGGTCTACTGTACCAAATTCTACTTCCAGCAGGACCTTAAAGAACATGTAAACCCAACATTTCTTGTTCTTGATATGTGCCATTTGTACCATGTAATTGTTTTAACCCCTTGGCGCCTGCGCATCCCGGCCCTTTAAGAGTTTCAGAAGCAGGGAAGTGGGGTGGAGTTTAGGGTCATGTGACCACTGTCATGGCGGTCACAAGATCGGGAAAGGTCCTGATCGAAAGAGGAGATCGGGACCTTTCCGTGAGTACCGGACATGTGTGCTGCGAGTGCGCAGGGCGCACGCTCTCAGCACATATGTCTTTTTTTTTTTTTTTAATAGAATGCAAATGTGTGGCCACTTGGCGTCTAGGCCCAGACGCTGGGTGGCCGCACATTTGCGTTCAGCCGGCATGAACAGGTTAAAAAGCTTCCTGTTCTCTTTGAGTTGCTTCCTTTGTGTGAAATCCCTGGTGTTCCTGCCAGTCCTCCTCCTTTCCTATTAAAAACTGACCACACTAAGTAGGAGAGCACAGTGTGGTCATTTTACTGGCTGTGCTGAGAACTCACAAATGGCAACCACACCAACCTATAATTGGCCTTTGCAGCAAGGAGCACATGGAAGGGTGACACATGTCAACAAACAAACAATTCCCAGCTGGGGTTTAGTTTTCATACATTTGCAAATATATGTTTACGCTGCTGAGGCCACGTTAAGGCACCCCAATGTACTTCAGTCCTAACTCAATACATTTTTAGAGTCCCCAAAGTTGGAACACATATATAATAATGGATAGTTTAAAGTGTTATTAAACCAACAACAGTAAAATCAGTCTGTATATGCAGTAAAGCATGCTTGTTATACTCGCTGTGAAACCTAAGGGGTTAATCTTCCGCATTGTGTAAAAAGGATGTTTGATCCTGTCTTCTCTGATCCTCCCCATCTTCTACTATCCCCAGTCCATCTCCTGATATAACAGAGCGTTGGAGGCAAGCTGCACATGCTCAGTTTGGTGTGTATTACTAGAGTTTTTTTTTTCTTGGGAGAGTGCATGTGATCAGCACAGGGCCAATCGGTACTGTTCAGACAGAGGATCAGGGGTCCTGCAGCCTCATAGGATAATCAGGAAAGAATGAAAACTCCTCCTACAGGCTTTAACCAGTGTTCTGCTGGACACTGATAGAAGTCACAAGACTGCTCTAACTACTGATGAGAAAAAGGTATTTAGCAGTTTATATTTACTACAATAATTACATTTCCATGTTCTGTGTACTGTGGGAAACCGGATATAGTGAATGCAGGGTCTAGGGAGACCAGATATAGTGAATGCAGGGTCCGGGGGACCGGATATAGTGAATGCAGGGTCCGGGGAGACCAGATATAGTGAATGCAGGGTCTGGGGAGACCAGATATAGTGAATGCAGGGTCCGGGGGACCAGATATAGTGAATGCAGGGTCCGGGGGACCAGATATAGTGAATGCAGGGTCCGGGGGACCAGATATAGTGACTGCAGGGTCCGGGGAGACCAGGTATATAGAATGAATGCAGGGTCCTGGGAGACCGGATATAGTGAATGCAGGGTCCGGGGGACCAGATATAGTGACTGCAGGGTCATTCAGGGTTTTAAAGACCAGATATAGTGACTGCAGGGTCCAGGGTTTAGTAACATTTTTAAGGACATCTCAGCCTGTTCTCTTCCAGTGGTCAGACTTGTCCTGACATGCCCCACCCCTTCCCAGCCACTCACTGGGAAGATCAGTGTAATGTTTCTCCTCCCTCAGCTGCAGCTGAGAACAGAGAGAATGTGATCACTTCTAAAACACCAAAAAAAAGGTATGTAGAATGTTTGTTTGGCATTTTTTTTTTTTTTGCTTTTTTTATATGAATACACAAATGTTTTGCCTTTCATTTCTATTTTAAACTGCATGAGTTGTTTTACAAGGTGAGGGTTCACATAAACGTTTAATACAATTGTAGAATGCTGTGTGCCTGCACATTCAGCTGCCTGTTTTAAATCTGTTCCCTGCCATTGTAGTGCTTGTGGCGCCTTGATCATAGTAGCAACCAGCTGTGCATACTTGTTACTGTATTCAGTACCTTGTGAGCTGTTTCTCTCACACACTACTCCAGCCCAAGGGCTGTTTTAGCACACAAACCGTTTCCTCAGTGCGATGAGCCTGGGTTCACACTGATGCGTGGGGCACATTGCATGTGATTCGCACAGGAACTGCAACGCATTCCTGTGCAAATTTACATGCGATTTCTGTACAGTGCAATTTGAGCCATACATTTTGTATGGCTCAAATCGCATCCAAACCAAAAAAGTGCAGGACCTTTTTTTTAGCCCGCACCAGAATCAGATCCGATTATGCACATCGCACCGCATTTTTGTGAGCTAATTTTGGGGTGTCGTTAACTTAAACTCCATACCCACAATGGTTCATATGAAAGGGGTGCGGAAAGGGTTAGAACTCCTGTTAAGTTTTAATGCGGTCTGTGTCCCTGCTGGGGAAATTTGCTCTGTTAAATGTTGTCAGCAGGACAGAAAGAGATGGGAATCCAACATTTTACAGTTGTCACCAAACCAGCAATAGAAGGGGATATCTTCCAATGAGAACATGTTTTTTGGTGTCACTGTTTTGGAGAGACTGTGAATCTATCAAATCAAACAAACAAGAAAAAAAAAAAAACCTTTTTGGTTTTAGATGTACTTGAACATGACCATCCATCTAATACTGAATAGATTCCCCTTTTACTGCCAAAACATCTCTTAGGAAGCATCATTCGCAAATTCAAGGCAAAGGGCACTGTTGAAACGCCCATTGAGGAATGGATTCCACTAGACCTCTAAAGGTACACTGTGGTATCTGGCACCAATCAGTTTGCAGATCCTGCAGATCCTTAGTCCTGGAAGTTACGAGGTGAAAGTTGCACCTCCGTGGATCAGACTTGTTTTTCCAGCACGTCGACAGATGCTCAGTTGGATTGAGAGCTGGAGAATTTGAAGGCCAAGTCAACACATTGAAGACTCAACCTTCCATTGATCGTGGTCCAGTTGTAATGTAATTGCAGTGAAAGGTGGTTCTACAAAGTATTGACTCAGGGACCTGGATACAAACGCACACCACACGTTTCAGATGTTTATTTGAAAATATTTTTAAAACCATTTATCGTTTTCCATCCATTCCATAATTATGTGCCACTTTGTGTTGGTCTAGCATATAAAATCCTAATAAAATACACATACCTTTTTGGTTGTAACACGACAAAATGTGGAAAATTTCAAGCAGTATGAATTCTTTTTCAAGCCACTGTTTTGTATGTGTGTGTATGGGTGTATAAAATGTAATGTACGTGTGTGTGTGTGTGTTATATATATATATGTATGTTATATATGTGTGTATATGTATATGTATGTGTGTGATATATATGTGGTATATAGTGGGTGTATATATATATGTACTGTGTGTGTATATATATATGTATATGTGTATATATACAGTCAGGTCCATAAATATTGGGACATCAACACAATTCTAACATTTTTGGCTCTATACACCATCACAATGGATTTGAAATGAAACGAACAAGATGTGCTTTAACTGCAGACTGTCAGCTTTAATTTGAGGGTATTTACATCTAAATCAGGTGAACGGTGTAGGAATTACAACAGTTTGCATATGTGCATCCCACTTGTTAAGGGGCCAAAAGTAATGGGACAATTGGCTTCTCAGCTGTTCCATGGACAGCTGTGTGTTATTCCCTCATTATTCCAATTATAATGAGCAGATAAAAGGTCCAGAGTTCATTTCAAGTGTGCTATTTGCATTTGGAATCTGTTGCTGTCAACTCTCAAGATGAGATCCAAAGAGCTGTCACTATCAGTGAAGCAAGCCATCATTAGGCTGAAAAAACAAAACAAACCCATCAGAGAGATAGCAAAAACATTAGGCGCGGCCAAAACAACTGTTTGTAACATTTTTAAAAAGAAGGAACGCACCGGTGAGCTCAGCAACACCAAAAGACCTGAAGACCACAGAAAACAACTGCGGTGAATGACCGAAGAATTTTTTCCCTGGTGAAGAAAACACCCTTCACAACAGTTGGCCAGATCAAGAACACTCTGCAGGAGGTAGGTGTATGTGTGTCAAAGTCAACAATCAAGAGAAGACTTCACCAGAGTGAATACAGAGGGTTCACCACAAGATGTAAACCATTGGTGAGCCTCAAAAACAGGAAGGCCAGATTAGAGTTTGCCAAACGACATCTAAAAAAGCCTTCACAGTTCTGGAACAACATCCTATGGACAGATGAGACCAAGATCAACATATTACCAGAGTGATGGGAAGAGAATAGTATGGAGAAGGAAAGGAACTGCTCATGATCCTAAGCATACCACCTCATCAGTGCAGCATGGTGGTGGTAGTGTCATGGCGTGGGCATGTATGGCTGCCAATGGAACTGGTTCTCTTGTATTTATTGATGATGTGACTGCTGACAAAAGCAGCAGGATGAATTCTGAAGTGTTTCGGGCAATATTATCTGCTCATATTCAGCCAAATGCTTAAGAACTCATTGGACGCCGCTTCACAGTGCAGATGGACAATGACCCAATGCATACTGCAAAAGCAACCAAATAGTTTTTTTATGGGAAAGAAGTGGAATGTTATGCAATGGCCAAGTCAATCACCTGACCTGAATCCGATTGAGCATGCATTTCACTTGCTGAAGACAAAACTGAAGGGAAAATGCCCCAAGAACAAGCAGGAACTGAAGACAGTTGCAGTAGAGGCCTGGCAGAGCATCACCAGGGATGAAACCCAGCGTCTGGTGATGTCTATGCGTTCCAGATTTCAGGCTGTAATTGACTGCAAAGGATTTGCAACCAAGTATTAAAAAGTGAAAGTTTGATTTATGATTATTATTCTGTCCCATTACTTTTGGTCCCTTAACAAGTGGCAGGCACATATGCAAACTGTTGTAATTCCTACACCGTTCACCTGATTTGGATGTAAATACCCTCAAATTAAAGCTGACAGTCTGCAGTTAAAGCACATCTTGTTCATTTCATTTCAAATCCATTGTGGTGGTGTATAGAGCCAAAAATTTTAGAATTGTGTTGATGTCCCAATATTTATGGACCTGACTGTATATATGTGTATATATATATATATGTGTATATATATGTATGTGTGTATATATATATATATATGTATGTGTATGTATATATATATATATATATATATATATATATATATATTTTTTTTTTTTATTTTTTTTATATACAATGATATAAAAATTGTACTGACATTTGAGTGCTGGCCTGCCCCCTCCTCCTACTTTGTGTGGGATGGGTCATTGCTCGACTTTGTGGAAGTCATCATTTGCATGTTGGAAATTTTTTAACTTTTGAGATATTGGGGTACTGTAAAAGCTGGGGGTGACCGTTTCAGATTCCTTTTTGGCAGGTTTACTTTACTTTAAGATAACATTTCAATAATACCTCAAACTACGTCCTCACAGTAGATACGCTATAGTTTTCCTTTAATGAAAATTTAGCAAGCTAACATCAAAAGCTTTCTTCTAGTGAAAGGCAGCGTTCCATGGGGATGCCAGGGAAATCTATAAAGAGACCGTCTATCTACACACATGTTTGTTGTTTAGTAATGTGTGCGTGTGTGTATTTTTTTTCTGTGAAGTCCTAGTGACTATAAATTATACATTAGATATGACAAGCCTTTGATTGAATCCTGCCAAGTTCAGGTCAACGATACTGCTGCTCACGTCCAGGGTTCCGTTGGCGGAATTTGTCCTGCAATCATTACGTGACCGTTAATGCATTTAAAAAAAAACCTTTATAGCTCTGTGCCGAAGTGATATAGGTTTCGCTTGAAGAGGGCGCAGAAAAACTTTCATGGTTTCTGCTGCTCATCTTTAGATCTAGAAAGTAGCCAGGAACAAAGGGCATTTTGACTCTGGCTTTATTTTTTTTTATTTTTTTTATGTCGGAGGAGCCACTGATGGCATTTTGTTTGAAGGCATTTAAAAAGCAGTTCTAGTGACAAGTAAAATCTGTGAGTGACCAGCTAGTGCTGTCCAGTAAACATGTACTGTACGCTTGCTGACACCAAGCCGGTATTGAAGGATAAATTCCCTGTTAATCAAAAAATGCAACATTTTTTTCCCTGCAAAAATATGCATCTATTTTTTTTTTTTTTTCTAAGAGTCTACAGGGCATTGCACCCTCAATTGGCAAATCATGGGTGCAGTTCAGGCTCCTGCGTACTCTGAGTACAGCTCTCTGCCTGTACCGCCTGTACAGTCAGACAGGTACTGAAGAACTGGAAGAATCCATGAACTACAGCGCCGTTGCATTTCATTGAGAACTAAAAGCCGGATGCCTTGGTGGCCGACAGGACTTGTGGTTTAATCAGTCACAGATCACTGTTGCTGTAACTGCTGAAGCCCTCATGCAGACTTGACATTTTGATAATGCTGGTAACGTTGGCTGTGTAAAGTCACTTTAAAAACATGAGTTTTTTTTTAGCATTTTTGCACTAGTTTTTTGCTGCAATTAGTGGCATTTTTCCACATTCTTTAGCGTCTTTTTAGAGTTTTGTTTTTTTTTTTCCCCCCCCCAATTATTTTTTTTTTTGGTAAAAAAAAACTCCAAAAACCGG